CACGGTGACACGCAAGGCGACACGTGTGGCGACACGCGTGGCGACACGCACGGTGACACGCGTGGTGACACGCACGGTGACACGCGTGGCGACACGCGTGGCGACACGCGTGGCGCCACGCACGGTGACACGCGTGGTGAGACGCACGGTGACACTCGTGTGACACGCGTGGTGACACGTGTGGTGACACGTGTGGTGACACGCGTGGCGACAAGCACGGTGACACGCACAATGACACGCACGGTGACACGCACAGTGACACGCGCGGCCGGGCCCCGACACAACAGCTACAGCCGCCGCCGCCATTCGCCAAACAAAGTGGCCGCACAACGTGTCGAATGGCGACGTCTTCCACGACGTCGCCCGTGCCAGGCCGGGTGCGCCCCGGGGCTCGTCACGTGACGCGTCGAAGGCTCGCTGGGGGCAGGAGGAGGAGGGAGGAGGGAGGAGGAGGTCACGGGGACAAGACCCAGGCGGTGCCGTTGGCCGACTTGACTGCGATGACCGGCGGGTGCACCGGCTGCTCTCACCCTGACCTGTGCCAACGGGAGCCCCAACACAAAGACAAAGATCCCCGCCACCCGCGTAGCCCGCAACAGACTGACGGGGCAAGTGCCGTTCAGCGAGCGGCGTCGGCGCCGACGAAGGCTGCCGGCACGGCACACGAGGGCGGCGAGTGGCCAGCACCAGCGGCGACGTTTAACTACAACGCCGGAAACCAGGTAGCCACTTTGTATTTTTTATTTTGAAATTATATCTTAAAGCTATTTTATATTCGATATTTAATGTTATATACTTCAGCCCCTGGGTGTTAGACTTTTAACACTTATTATAGTAAGACTTGTTTAAAACTTATTTAAGATTTTAGATTCCTATATGTTGAATGTATGCACCATCCTGCCAAAGTAAATTCCGTGTCGGTGTGAACTTACATGGCGAATAAAACCCTTTCTGATTCTGATTCTGACTTGAGGCCGAGTCGACCTAGGGGGGGCCCAGGACCGGTTTGGATAATCGTCAAGCCCGGGGTCGCCGGGGTCGTAGCGCCGCGGCGGTGGCGCTGACCGCCGCCACGCTACCGGTTCTTCCACGCGTGCGTGCGTGCGTGCACACGCACAACGTAAATAATATATTCCGTACACACCCTCGCATACCGCAGGTAAACAACTGCCCCGCCACCAAGCGTGAAAGGTGGAGCGCATGCTCGCGGACGAGGCCGCGGGTGACTCAACGACAGCGAAGGGATTGGTGAGGGGACGGGGGGGGGGGACGGGGGGGACGGGAGGACACCGCCCCCGAGCGGAGACGGAGCGATGAAATCGGCAGCCAAGCCCGCTCGTTCGCGTGCGAGGGGCGGAGGCGATGGATCGTGGCGATGGCGCGGGGAGGAGGCCTTCGTCGAGCAGTAGATAGAACGTGGCCGGTGAGGACGACAAGCGGCTCGTGAGGATGACAAGCGGCTCGTGAGGACGCCACACGGATCGTGAGGACGACACACGGATCATGAGGACGACAAGCGGATCGTGAGGACGACACACGGCTCGTGAGGACGACACACAGCTCGTGAGGACGACAAGCGGATCGTGAGGACGACACACGGATCGTGAGGACGACACACAGCCGGTGAGGAGGACAAGCGGCTCGTGAGGACGACACACGGATCGTGAGGACGACACACGGATCGTGAGGACGACAAGCGGCTCGTGAGGACGACACACAGCTCGTGAGGAGGACACACGGATCGTGAGGAGGACACACGGATCGTGAGGATGACAAGCGGCTCGTGAAGACGACAAGCGGCTCGTGAGGACGACACACGGATCGTGAGGAGGACACACGGATCGTGAGGATGACAAGCGGCTCGTGAGGACGACAAGCGGCTCGTGAGGATGACACGCGCTACATGCCTGTCAACCCCTTATCAGCGTCCTAGGTTATTATAGACCAATTCAGACATTATTGATCACCCCGTGCCCCTTATAAATCTCAAGGTTCATCCTACAAAGTTCCATCGCAAGGAGATAAACACAAACAAATGGACAACATTATTATTATTACTACTACATACTCCGTGGTTCTGTCGGTAGAGTCACGTGGGTATAAAATAAAATAAATCACTAAATTTCGATTTAAAGCTTTCGTGACTGCAAGGATTCATCTTCTTTGGTTCTTTCGGTAAAGTCACGTAGAATGAGAATATTATTGTGTTATTTTATTTTATCAATTTATTATTTTATTCTCATTCTACGTGACTTTACCGAAAGAACCAAAGAAGAAGAAAATAAATCACGTTTCAGTCCAGCAGTTACACTGCTGAACTATATGAACTATATATTTTTTTTCCACCCCGATGACGGTCGCTTGCGTTGCGATCGAAACGTCGTTGATTTTTATTTTATTTTCTCTACCTACGCGGACTTCACCGAAAGAACCACAGAGTAGGGATTCCTGCAAGTCACAAAAAGCTTCAAATCAAGATTAGTATTCTTATTGTGCCCCTTATTGAAACGGCTGTACTCCGCGTGGATCTGCAAACTCAATTTCCCTGTGCAAAGAATGTGGGGTGAACCGTGCGGGTTATTAACACGGTATGCACCCACGGTACACCATCACAGCCTGTACTTGTTAATGCTCAAACCACAATAAAATAACAAAGATCCCCCCGTGTAGCCTAGACGGACTGTTGGGGACAAGAGCTGCGTGTCTCGGCATCTCGCGCCAGGAAGCACGCCCCCCGACCGCCCTTTGTATCCCCAAACTACCTTTGAGGCCGAGCCTACCTAGAGGTAGCGGATAACTCATCACCAACGTTACCCACGGCCTGGAATCGAACTCGGGAAAAAAAAGGCCGGGTTAGCAGCGTCAAGTGCGCTCACCACTGCGCCACCGCTCACCCGTGCGTGCGCAGTACAAGGTACAATAACAATCACGCAAATATGCGAACACACAAAGACGCAAAAATCCCTCCCCTACCCCCCGTTATAGCTTGAAACAGACTGGTGCCGTTAGCCAGGTGCACACGGGGAAGTGGGTGGCCAGCACCACGCCGGCCCGTCTTTGTATTCCCCAGTGGCGATGTTTACGCATCGCAAACCGGTTACTCATTTGAGGCCGAGTCGACCTAGGGGAGGGCCCCGGTTCTGGTAATCGTCACCGCTGTCGCGTGGACGAGAGCGGGAACTGATCTCGGGCAGCCGGGTTCCCACTAACACACAAAGACAAAGGTCCCCCGTGTAGCCCGTAACAGACTGTTGGGGCAAGTGCTGTTAGTGGCGAGTAGCGAGTGTGCGTGAGTGTGTGTGAGTGTGTGTGTGAGTGTGTGTGTGAGTATGTGCGAGTGTGTGTGAGTGTGTGTGTGAGTGTGTGCGAGTGTCTGAGTGTGTGCGAGTGAGTGTGCGTGAGTGTGTGAGCCAGTGAGTGTGTGCGAGTGAGTGTGAGTGATTGAGTGTGTGAGTGTGTGCGAGTGTTTGTGTGTGTGCGAGTGTTTGTGTTAGTGCGTGTGTGAGTGCGTGTGTGTGTGCGTGTGTGTGTGCGAGTGTGTCAGTGTGTGAATTAGTATGTGAGTGCGAGTGAGTGTGCGAGTGTGTGTGTGGAGTGTGTGTGTGAGTGCGAGTGAGTGTGTGAATGAGTATGTGAGTGCGAGTGAGTGTGTGAGTGTGTGTGTGGAGTGTGTGTGTGAGTGCAAGTGAGTGTGTGAATGAGTATGTGAGTGCGAGTGAGTGTGTGAGTGTGTGAGTGCGAATGAGTATGTGTGAGTGCGAGTGAGTGTGTGAATGAGTATGTGTGTGAATGAGTATGTGAGTGTGTGAATGAGTATGTGAGTGTGTGCGAGTGAGTATGTGAGTGTGTGCGAGTGAGTGTGTGCGAGTGAGTGCGAGTGTGTGTGCGTGCGTGTGAGTGTGTGTGAGTGCGTGTGTGAGTGCGTGTGTGAGTGTGTGTTTGAGTGAGTGTGTGTGAGAGTGTTTGAGTGTGTGTGAGTGCGTGTGTGAGTGTACGAGTGAGTGGCGTAGCCGGTTACGGCATCGAACCCGACCGTACCCAGCGAGTTCGTCTCCCGATGAGGTCGACCCTTCTCGTGCCACCAAAACCGCAGCTTCGCATTGAACCAGCGTGGTGAAGTATGCTCGCAATGACCAGCGTGGTGAAGTATGCTCGCAATGACCAGGGTGGTGAAGTATGCTCGCAATGACCAGCGTGGTGAAGTATGCTCGCATTGAACCGGCGTGGTGAAGTATGCTCGCAATGACCGGCGTGGTGAAGTATGCTCGCATTGAACCGGCGTGGTGAAGTATGCTCGCAATGACCAGGGTGGTGAAGTATGCTCGCAATGACCGGGGTGGTGAAGTATGCTCGCAATGACCGGCGTGGTGAAGTATGCTCGCAATGACCAGCGTGGTGAAGTATGCTCGCATTGACCAGGGTGGTGAAGTATGCTCGCAATGACCAGCGTGGTGAAGTATGCTCGCAATGACCGGCGTGGTGAAGTATGCTCGCAATGACCAGGGTGGTGAAGTATGCTCGCATTGAACCAGCGTGGTGAAGTATGCTCGCATTGACCAGGGTGGTGAAGTATGCTCGCAATGACCAGGGTGGTGAAGTATGCTCGCAATGACCAGGGTGGTGAAGTATGCTCGCATTGACCAGGGTGGTGAAGTATGCTCGAAGCTCGCGTTACCGACCGACACGGCCTTCGTGTAGCGGGCGACTGATCTAACGGGGGGGGGGGAGGGAGGTCTCAACGTTACAACTTCATCGCTTCAATCGCAGTTCGCGAAACTTTTAAACGGCGGCAATCCCCTCAGAGGGAATCTCCGTTAAAGAGGGGAAAAAAAAGCGGCGGGGCCTAGCAAACACGGAGGCCTCGGCCTCGCCTGGATCACACGCGGGGCAATCGCGGCCACCCCGACGCCGGGCAGTCCGCCGAGGAAAAGCGGCGAAAGCCTGAAGGGACTAGGCCTCGCTGCTCACACCACCACCACCACTCACCCACCACCACTCACCCCGTGAGGTAAAAAAGTTGACGAAAGTCCTCCCGACGACCGCGCCGAGCGAGGCGTGTGGCGGCGGCGGCGGCGGCGAGGGCCCCGCGGTGGAAGTTGTCCGCGTCAGTTCCGTCGGAGGGGACCTAAACGCGGCTTAGCGGGACCACGGCCCGCGTGGGAATGCGCATGCGCAGTAGCGTCAGGAATGAGAGGGGAGGGGTGGAGGGGGAAAGGGAGGGGTGGGGGTGGGAGGGAGGGGTGGAGGGGAGGGTGGAGGGGAGGGTGGGGGGAAGGGAGGGAGGGGAGGGTCGGGGGAAGGGAGGGAGGGGAGGGTGGGGGGAGGGGTGGGGGGGAGGGTGGAGGGGTGGGTGGGGGGAAGGGAGGGAGGTGGGGGGAAGGGAGGGGAGGGTGGGAGGGAAGGGAGTAGGAGGGGTGGGGGGAGGGGTGGAGGGGAGGGTGGAGGGGAGGGAGGGAGGGGAGGGTGGGGGGAAGGGAGGGGAGGGTGGGGGGAAGGGAGGGGAGGGTGGGGGGAAGGGAGGGAGGGAGGGGAGGGGTGGGGTGGGGGGCTAAATGTGCACTGCTGCAGGGTCTCGAGTTTTTTCACTTTATTTATAATGGTATAGCCCTGTGAGCCATTCGGCTCTTGAATCGGGTGCAACCACAACAAACAAACAAAAAAACAAAAACACGAACAAGAAAAACATCTTAAAGTGACTACTATGTGACTGTGATTGTGTAAACAGAAAATCCATGGAAAAAAAAAACCAGCAAAAATATTCCTGAAAAAAGCACCGTACACCAACGCTGTGCAAAAAACTCCCAGTGGGATGCAAGTCAAACAACAACAACAAAAACCACAAACTTAGATTAAGGCCGTCAGTCTAACTCCGTACTACAACAAAACAAACATGTCCAAACCAAAAAAACGTTTTCGAAAATCACCAAAAAATAAAGCCATAATTGCAACGTAACAGTGATCACAGGGACTGTGACCGAATTTTTTTACAATAAACTACGTAAATAATAACATGTAACACCAAATCCTAGAGCCGTAGCTGGCTGCATGAGTTACTCCACAACAACAGAGGCATCAGTCGGAGTATCACATTTTTCAATGCACCTTTAAGAGGAGAGGCGGAGTGATGTGGTGCAGGAGGATGTGGAGCTGAGTGGACTTATGAGATGTCGATCTGTGACTTCATCGAAAGACCCAGAGAATATGAATTCCTGCAGTCACGAAAGCTTTAAGTCTTCGTGGACTTGCCAATTACCGGTACCAGCGGTGCCAAGATCGGCCTCAGTGGAGGAGGAGGCTTGTGAATGATGCTCCTGGGCAGTGCCAGGCTACGTGCACCTTGAGGCTAGTGGGCAGTGGCAGGCTACGTGCACCTTGAGGCTACTGGGCAGTACCAGGCTACGTGCACCTTGAGGCTACTGGGGCCAGTGCCAGGCTAGGTGCACCTTGAGGCTACTGGGCAGTTGGAGGCAGTCGCCCTCCAGAAACAGCGTAGGGCAGAGGAGCGACGCTCACAACAACGAGCGGAGCGCCGGCCGGCTAAAACGCAGCGAGTTGGCACGGGGAGGGGGGGGGAGGGGGTACAGCTGGTGGTGGTGGTGCATCTAGCGGTCATCTCAGTCAGACGACCCATGGCACCTGCCGGGTCTGTCCCGTGACCTCCTGCACCTAGCCTGGCACAGCAGGGGGGTACAGCTGGTGGTGGTGGTGCATCTGACGGTCATCTCAGTCAGACGACCCACGGCACTTGCTGGGTCAGTCCCGTGACCTCCTGCACCTAGCCTGGCACAGCAGGTGGGTACAGCTGGTGGTGGTGGTGCATCTGACGGTCATCTCAGTCAGACGACCCATGGCACCTGCCGGGTCTGTCCCGTGACCTCCTGTCAGCCAGAGAGCCTTCGACACTTCACGTGGCAGCCTCAAAGTGCACCTAGCCTGGCACAGGCGACGCGGTGACGTCACCGTCACTTTGTGGCGAATGGTATTGGAGGGGAGGGGTGGAGGGGTGTGACGGTGGAGGGGAGGGGTGGAGGGGAGGGGTGGAGGGGAGGGGTGTGATGGTGGAGGGGAGGGGTGGAGGGGTGTGATGGTGGAGGGGAGGGGCTAACTAAGGGGCGGGGTTTACGAGGAATGGGGGCGGAGCTGGCAGCAGCGTGAATGAGAATCTTCCGAGTGTGGCATTAAATGGGAAAATATATAAATAATGTGCGACGTTTCGGGCACTGCCCCTTCTTCAGATCCAAATATTATAGAGTGCACTCGTTTACACCATTTGGGGGCCTCGGGGGGGGGGGGGGGGTGAAATAGAACAACATTTTAAAATGTAGAATTTTTTTTAAGGACACCAGTTTTCATAGCTATTTCCACACATTGTTATTGAACTCGCCGTGTCGAATGTTTATAGCCTTTAGAATCTTTGACCCTTGACATCTTCGGATCTACGAAGCCTCACGAGCTGAGGATTGTCCCGCACGGACTCCGCCGTGCCAATTCGAATATTTAATTAACACAAAAAAAAGCGGGTCCAGGTATCCTCCCATCGTGGTACCATTCGTGTTTTTTTTAAAATAATTTGTTGTTATTAATTAACAATCGAACATTAATCCATCCCCCCCTACCCCCCCCTTTTTTTGAAATCACGAATGGCCGCGCCCAGCCACAAGGGCAAAGATCCGGGTCCAATCACAGCGGCTGTTGCTGGGCGGCCTCTGACCAACCAGAGGCGCGCTTCTATCGCCGCGCGTCATGGCGCCGGAGCGGCCGCTGTGCTCTCCCTTAGGGGCTGTCCATAAATGACGTCACGCACCTGGGAGGGGGGGGGCGTGTCAGACATTTGTGACGATGTGTGACGATGTGTGACGAGGGGGTTTGAGAAATGTGACGTCACATCAAAATGCGCAACTTTAAATAAATATAGCATTAAATTTTGATTTAAAGCATTTCGTGACTGCAGGGATTCATATTCTTGGTTCTTTCTTGCTGTGGTTTTCACACCCTGATGATGATTGCTTGTGTTGCAGTCGAAACGTCGTGAGAATTGTATTGTTTTATATTTTTATTCTATTGTTGTTTCCCTTCTATGTGGTGACTTTACCGAAAGAACCAAGAATATTAAATATATAATTCTTCTTTGGTTCGTTCGGTAAAGTCACGTAGAATGAGAATAAACTAATAAAATAAAACAATAAAATTCTCACGACGTTTCGGCCACAACACAAGTGGCCTTCTTCAGGTGAAAGGAACAAACCTGTCGGGACGACAGAGCTTCAATGAACGCTGCTAAGATTCGCAGCGTCTTTTAAGCTGGTTTAGAGAAAGTGAGGCACCTTGACAAAGGGGTTTACATATCAAACAGGAGAATTTAGCATTGAAACAGTTGAGAGATTAGCTTGTGACTGGTCACAGAAATAGCTATCTAAAAGTCAAAGCCTACACATCCACAGAGGCACCTAGTATAAATCAAACAGGATAATTTAGCATTGAAATAGCTGAATGATTAGCTTGTGACTGGTCACAGAAATAGCTTTGTTAAAGTCGAAGCCTACACATCCACAGAGGCATCTAGTATAAATCAAACAGGAGAATTTAGCATTCAAACAGTTGAGAGATTAGCTTGTGACTGGTCACAGAAATGGCTATGTTAAAGTCAATGCCTACACATCCACAGAGGCATCTAGTATAAATCAAACAGGATAATTTAGCATTGAAATAACTGAGGGATTAGCTTGTGACTGGTCACAGAAATAGCTGTGTTAAAGTCAAAGCCTACACATCCACAGAGGCACCTAGTACATGGACGCCAAAGGGGCTGCAACAACTCAACTATCATACAGTAAACCGATGTGGAAAAAAAACCTAAGTCTAAATTACATCAATATAATAAATGTACTCAATATATTCTTCAATAAGCAGAGCTATTAACAGCAACTGGGTATACACTACACTATATAATGAATACCATATAGTAAACAGATAAAAAACTAAAATATAAACTACCTCAATGTTATCAATAAACTCTATATATTCTCCAATCAGCTGAGCTACCAACAATAAGTCGTTATATATCACGATGACATATATGGCGAAAAAAATGGGTGGATTCTTACCCTCCACATCAGCACCACGGACCGCTACGAGCCCCGTTCAGACGGACGAGTCCATCATGGTCGGAACAGAGGAGAGAGACAGCTGCGAGGCGCTGTTATAATCATGTTATAAACCATACCATTAACCGTGGTGTGAGAAGTATTAAGAGTCAATGCCAGCGAAAGAGCTGCGGTCTGAAGAACCGAAATGGTTTAAAACATCTTTCCAATGGTTACTAAGCCAGAATCCATCTTCTCGGTTGAAATTGTCGCTGTGCTTGTACATGTGGATAGCCTCATGTTTCTCTCCTCTGTTCCGACCATGATGGACTCGTCCGTCTGAACGGGGCTCATAGCGGTCCGTGGTGCTGATGTGGAGGGTAAGAATCCACCCATTTTTTCGCCATATAGCATCGTGATATAACGACATTGTTGGTAGCTCAACTGATTGGAGAATATATAGAGTTTATTGATAACATTGAGGTAGTTTATATTTTAGTTTTTTTTTATCTGTTTACTATATGGTATTCATTATGTAGTGTAGTGTATACCCAGTTGCTGTTAATAGCTCTGCTTATTGAAGAATATATTGAGTACATTTATTATATTTATGTAATTTAGACTTAGGTTTTTTTCACATCGGTTTACTGTATGATAGTTGAGTTGTTGCAGCCCCTTTGGCGTCCATGTACTAGGTGCCTCTGTGGATGTGTAAGCTTTGACTTTAACAAAGCTATTTCTGTGACCAGTCACAAGCTAATCTCTCAACTGTTTGAATGCGTCCATGTACTAGGTGCCTCTGTGGATGTGTAGGCTTTGACTTTCACAAAGCTATTTCTGTGACCAGTCACAAGCTAATCTCTCAACTGTTTGAATGCGTCCATGTACTAGGTGCCTCTGTGGATGTGTAGGCTTTGACTTTAACATAGCTATTTCTGTGACCAGTCACAAGCTAATCTCTCAACTGTTTGAATGCGTCCATGTACTAGGTGCCTCTGTGGATGTGTAGGCTTTGACTTTAACATAGCTATTTCTGTGACCAGTCACAAGCTAATCCCTCAACTGTTCCAATGCTAAATTCTCCTGTTTGATATGTAAACCCCTATGTCAAGGTGCCTCACTT